CGGGCAAATATATGGGAGTTTCCGAAAATGGGGGACCCTAATATAGTACCCTAAATAGTAGGATCCTCATTATAAGGACCCCCATATAAGGTACCCCTAATTTTCGGAAACTCTAAACCCTAAACCCTTTATAGAACCCTTATAGATCCCTTTAAAGGAACCCTTAAAGGTACCCCTAATTTTCGGAAACCCCCATATGGAGGGCTGGGGTTAAGGGTTTAGGGTTCGGTTTAGTGGTTGCGATACACCCCGACGCAGGCTGTGAGATGCAGTCTCCGTTCTATACCTCCTTCTAGGGCTAAAGCAAAAGCCAGAAAGTTGGAATACGATTATCCTAAACTCTCTATGGTAAATTATAGGGTATCCTACCCTGAAACCATATTCCAACTTTCGGGAGTTCCCTTTAAGGGTTTATGGTTTACGGTTGGGCTCGGCTCGATGGTCTACCATGAAGAATCGTGGATGGTCTCCGCATTTCCTTCGTCATGTCCCTGAGCCTTCAAAGGGGATCCGCAACGGTTTAGGGTTAGGCAAGCCCTGCTTGGAGGGTCGCTGGACTTACTAAGTAGATATTTTATGGAGTTATAAGTACCATAACCCCAATTACGGTCCCTTTTAGGGTACTTGTAACTCTACTTGTTACCTACTTACGAAGTCCCCCCAACCCTCCAAGTGTAGCACCAAACCCACCTCCCCTGATTCCGAAAAAACACACCTTAAAAACCCTAAACCCTGAACCTTTAAGATGCCCTAACGGCCAAAATGCCCGAACCTTCATAAAGCAATCCGAATCCCTGAAAAGCCCTAAACCTTTAACCCGCGAAGGATTAGGGTCTACGGACCGATACCCTGAGCGCAAGTATAAACAAAGCATCAACCCAAAAACGAATGCGAAACCTCTAACGGAAAGATCTAGCCCTAGACATCGACGAACTAAGCCATCAACTTCAAACACAACCAAGCCCCGGAACCTTCTAAAACCCAAAGTCCCCCCCCCAATCGCTTCCCTGTGAGCTCCCCTCGAGAACCCATCTAGGAAGAAATAGATGATTGTCTCAGAGCCCCATCCACTCAAGCCTGGTATGGTCATAGGGCAGTAGCTTATGATACTTCTGAAACTAGATGCTTGAACCCTTTAACTCTGCACCAATGAGGGCTGAAGAAACATGACAGGGTTTTGGTGTACCTTAAACTCAAGTTGTTTTGTTGGGGACTATATGTCAAGAAGGGACATTATTTGAAGCCTCTACCGATTCTAGAACCCTAAACCCCTGAACCCTACTCATAATAACCCTAAACCCCTACCACCCCTTTACCTTAAACCCTAAAGCCCCGACGCTGAAGCCTAAGCGCTGCTAACCCTCGGGCTTAAGCCCCTTCTCCTTACAACCCTAAATTCGCCTTATGGCCCAAAGCGCAGAGCCTGACAATTTGTATATAACTCTAGACCTTGTAAGCCTATATAACCCTAAACCCCGCGAATAGCTTGTCACCCTAAGCCCCCAGACTTCGAAACTTAAAATTAAGCACGCTGAACCCCTACAGCTGCTGACGTATAACCACCTTTTTACTCATAACTTATAACCCAAAACCCCGAAAACCCCTCAGAGCCCACAAGGCCTGAATTCTCTCCGCATTTACGATCTTCTTACCTTCAAACGCGATCTCGCAGTCCTTCTTGACCTGTCCTGACGGTACTTAGAGACAACGGGCCGAAATTATTGGGATATATAAGCGGAAAGTTCTGCGTAGATGTATCAGTGTTAAGTGGAGTTTGTAGAAGTAAAAAGCAGTAGAGATAGAAGTAGACTTGTGTGTTCGACACCCTCGAAGTAGGTCCCATTGGGCTTTAACTAGAAATCTTGGGGCATGACAGGGGCTTCAGAATTCTGGTCGTACCATATTGCGGATGAGGGCTTATAGGGTTTGATGGCATTAAAGTCCATAAGGCACTCTTGGGTACTGAGGCTTATGCGTCTGGGTTTAGGGTTTAGGGCTTTGTGAGGATGATCCATATTCGTATCCACGTGCCTGCATGCTTTCATTCCCCTCGACCTATTGGTCTGCTGCCGTTCCGCACTTCTTATGTTCTGTGAATCAAGGTTTTGCGCTCCCCTAAGCCTGTCCTAGGATACCCAGTAACCTAACAATAAAAAGGCCTCTCTTTTTGGTATTGGGTAACTTTATAAGGAACCTAGGACTACAAAAAGGGAATAAGGGTACTACTGGGCATCCTAGTGTCTTGCATGCGACTCATTGGGATGCCCTTAACTGCCTGCTTGGGTAACAAACCTATTTCCGGCACTGCGGTTCCCAATTCGGATCAGTCCCCTAAACAATCAAGCGGTTCCCAATCCCTAACAAAGCAGCCTTGAAAGCTAGAAGGGGGTTACTAGGGCATACTGTGGTAGTAGAGAGGTGCCCCCAAAAAAGTACTACAAACTATTCGGGCTTGAAAAGTAAACCCGAACCGTACGTGGGCCCCGCCTTTGTAGTGAGACACGCCCACAATGTGCGTTGAGATCTGCGCGAACCATCGCTCGACTCGGATGCCCTTGCTTTGTTCACCTGCTTCAGCTTTGCCCTTGGATGGGGTCTCCAGGCGAGCACGCTTGGGCGATGGAGGAGTCGCCGGAGTCTTGACGTCTTTCTTGGCCTGTGGGCCGGAGTTGCAGAGAGTTGGGACCGTAAAATATGTCAGGGATCTCCGTATGTGGGGATGGGCATGCTGCAAGTGACACAGCTTAGCTGAAAGATCGCCTGTCATGCTAGCTTAGGTGGATGCCGGCATTTCTTTGACATTGCCTCCGTTGATTTTGTGACAATGTAGCCGCTGCCACCACTACCAACGCCACCACCACTTCCACGACCACGGCAACTACCACCACCAGTACTACTACCACTACTACTACCACAACAGTAACAACAACTACTACTGCTCCTACTAATCGTAGTACTGGTAGTACTGGCAGTGCTATTACTACTACTACTACTACGACGACGACGACGGCAGCTACGACTACGACGACGGCGGCTACGACTACGACGGCGACTAGTACGACCACTGCCACGACCACCATCTCTACCGCTACGACTGCGACTGCCGCTGCTGAGACGACGACTCCTAGATTACGAGGCGACGGCGACAACGACAAGTGACTAGTGTCAGCACCAAACATTATACTAGCAATACTGCCAATGCTAACGAGTATCATAACCATTTTCATAATCATGACGATCATCATAGTGGCAAAATGTAAGCAGCACTCATGCCAACATATGCCAACAAGGGCAATGCTCACTGACTCATCGGCAGCCTGCTGCAGTGAGGTGTTGGATCGCACGCGTATCATCAGCCATGTAAAGTGACTGCAAAGTGGAAAACCGAAACATCTGAGAAATCAGGGTTTTGGGTTTATAGGTCAAGACTATCCCGCTTCGAAATGCCAGAGCTCGCGAAAACAAGTGCAAGTCTCGAAGCCAGATGCTAGAGGAATCGATGCTTCGGGCTGGAGTTCGGAAGACTATTCATGTGCATCAAGGCTGACATTGGCCCACTCCCTAATAAGTTTGGGGTTCAAGGTACTGAGTGTCCGTACAAAGAAACAAAGGAGGCAAATAGTGTATGTAGCTTGAAACAAAAGCCTCAAACCATGTAGAGTCGTGAGAAGGAGGCATTATTGAATTGCATGGCCAACCAGATTTTGAGCTCGAGCCAAACAGCTCGTGAAGTTGGGATCGATGCTCATGCTCGAAATGCTGCTGCTGATTGAGAGTTTAGGGTTTAGGGTTTAGGGGAGATTCTAGAAAGGAATGATGACTGTAACCTTCGAGGAAGCAAAACACTAAAGGCCTGATTTGCATACTAAATTAGTCACTATCATGATGCCAAACACAGTACTTGAGCTTTGGATGGGGGATTTGGGTTGAGGATCAAGATCACTCAGTCAGTTTGAAGCTTCACATTCCATACATCGCATCAGCTGAGATGGACTGGAGTGGCACCGATGGCGATGGGAGTTGTTGTGAGTTCATGTCTTCTTTGTGGGTATCCTCATGTTTCTGCTGGCTTGCGTGTATCTTCTCGCTTACAAGAACTCCTGGTACTCCTGGAAGCAGCTGCACATGCAGCAGCGCAATATCAGGATGATACAAAGTATAAGTGGCTGTTGTGATAGTACAATAAAGGTTGAATAGTAGTGCTCATTTTTTGCTAGTATCGTTAGCAGTGATGATGATGCAAGTCGTCTTTTCTTGTTTGCTGTTTTCCTGTACTGCAAATTTGGACGACGCTAGGTGAAAGATTGCCTGTGCCTACACTTCAAGTGTATAGGTTTCGGCCCCTACCGGCTCTCCTGCTCTTACCAGCTGCGACGGTAGGAATGTTGTTATGACTCCCTGGTGCTTAGTAGGGAATGGGGGAATGGGTTATGGGGACCACTATTGGACATTATACAGAGGCCCATTCCCCCATTCCCTACTAGGAACCAGACAGATGAAAACGCAGTTGTTGAGGGTTGGTATCAGTTTCCTTCATCCTCGCTGTTGACGGTGCTGCTGCTTAATCATAAGACCTCTCTGTGGGGGGCTACATGACTTCTAAATACATTCCAAGGGTCCAAGTACCTACTGATGGCCTAATGGTCAGATACTCTCCCACATACCTACAAAACGATCGTTCTACACCCATACCTAATTACCTAGATATAGAACTGAATGCATGCCATGACAAAACCCTCTCAGAACCCCAAACTATTAAGGATAAACAGTAGGCGAATACGGTCATGGGGCTTTCAGCTTTGCTTGAACTTCAGGGACACAGTACTCAAAAACAGCCTGCCCAAATCCGAAACCCTAAACCATTGCATAAATCCGAAAACCTACACCCTAAACCTTACCATGATGTACATCCTGCCATTACACATGGGTCCTATATCCGACCCCCCCCTCTCCCCCCTAGGTTGTGAAGTTTCCACGACACGGGGTGGCCTGTCTTCGTCTCATGTCCGCTTCTTGTCCATGTCCTGTTGTGAGGGGCTGAGTTCCGGAAGGTGAAAAGACCACAATCCTGTCTTCCCAAACGGTCCACAGGGCCCAATAAGTGGGTACGTAGGTTTAGGCTAAGGTCTTTTTTCTTAGTGTGCCATACTATTTGGGGGCCATAAACAGAGACCCCAGCTTAGATAACTACTCATATGATTGCTGGATGCTTGGACCTAATAATCAAATACTCTTCCAAGTATTGAGCTACATGCTACATACTATCCTAAACGCAAGCACCTTGGGTCCTTTGGACCCTTGGGGGTTAGATTATAGCTATACTACGGAGCCCTCAACGTGGTAGAGGTAATTGCGCGGTAGGGCCTTGTATCTTAGCATGAAAGTCCTTGAACCAAAGTGACCGATGAACGAAGCCATGGAGAGCAAAAGGCGACTCGCCTACATCCTAGCTATACCCCCCTTATAACCATAACAAAATTATGTTTCAAATATTCTTTTGGGTTTTATATTGAACGAAAAAAGAAAATAATTCCTAAAGAGACTATAGCTAGTTGTACCCAGAGACTCCAATATCCCTTCATTAACGAATATAATTACCTCAAACTGTGTAGTACAGTAGGATCCCTACTATGACTTAAGGCATATTCCTTAATTAATGGATATTGGAGTCTCTGGGTACGATTGATGCTATACATCCGCATTACTCATAATGAGGAATACACCATAATTCCCATAGTTTAGGGACTTGCATGCATACAGAGAATGCAGAAGGTACAGGGGCATGCTATTACTATTTTTCCGAGTTGGGGTTTTTGGAGAGTTGGAGAATTTAACCCATTTGCCCTTTCCTCGCGCAAACACGGGGCCCCGATGCTCTGAAACATCCATCCTGGCCGTCATCGGTTTCGGGTTTAATTAGGCGTTAACAGGAATTATGAGTTTAGGGGTTTCTGTTGACCCACAAGCCCGGAATTGATACCAAAGAAATCACAAGCTCGGCGCATGCGCGATAGTTTAACATATTTCTCCGTATCAGCCCGCTTGTATAATAGAAGCCAGAAAGTTGGAACATCATAGTCCTCATGCCCTTAAGGTAAAGTATAAGGGATCCTAGCACTAATCCTCCTGAAGTCATGTTCCAACTTTCTGGCTTCTACTATACCTCCTACCGAAAGCACGGTAAAACCCTAACCCTAAACCCTAAACCCCTAAACCCTAAACCCCTAAACCCTAAACCCTAAACCCTCAAGGGCCCGACCATGGAAGAGAGATTCGACTGAAGGTCTCTGGCTTGTCCCGTCTGCCTGGTGCACAGATCTCTAGGATACCCAGTAACCTAAGAAGAAAAGGCCTCTCTTTTTGGTATTGGGTAACTTTATAAGGAACCTAGGACTACAAAAAGGGAATAAGGGTACTACTGGGCATCCTAGTGGTCCTAGTCTTCTGATATAGGGACCCCCAGAAAGCACATACAGTAGAAACTCAAAAGTTGGAAACGCAATAGCCTGAATCCTTAAAATGTATACTGGATCCCAGCACTATTTGGCCTTAGTCCGGTTTCCAAGTTTATAGGGTTTGATATAAGCATCAGCATTTTGTGGGACATCCCTACCGCAGTGGGCTTCATTATACGGGCGTTTATATGGAATATCCCTATCCTATCCTAAGTTTCGATTATGTGCTTTTTGGGGCCCCATGATAGAGTCTGATGTTAAGGTTGAGGATTCAGGCCAGCGGGTTTGTCTAACTTGAAGGGAGGTTGGGAGAAATAAGGCCTGAAGCGTTCGATGTGCAGGCACCCTTGAACCCCGAATTAGCTTCAAGATGTCGGAACCCACAGGAAGACTCCTGGAGGGAATGATGAGCGGCCGATCCCACAGTTACGGTTTCGGGGGAGAGGGGATCTGGAGAGACTGTAGCACTTTGGGGATGCTGGACCCAGCTTAGGATTTAGGGCTTATGAGTTTTATGGCGTAAGGTCTAAAACCCGAAACCCTGACCTCTAACCCTAAACTCACAACGGTTAGCCCCAGCCGGTTTGGGCATTTCAGCGAAACCACCAGAAAGGAGGCCGGGCTGAGAGTATAGGGACTCGGGTTCAGTTCAAGGCACAGGATTGCACGATTGAGGGCTTAGTTGCTGAGTTCCTAAGCCCCCCAAAATGTACACTTTCAGTTTTATAATTGGTAAATTTTATCCCAAAAAGTGTAAAGTGTATCCACTCAGCTACTAAGAGGGTGGTACAAGTCCGGCCCTTTGGGATTTCTACGACTTTCGGATTCAAGGCTTTGAGGGTCCACCAGTGATTTTCAGTCTGCAAAGAGTCATCCACAGAGCGAGGAGCAATGAAGGTTCTCAACCGAGGTCCATCGATGTACTTGTAGCCCTCAGTTCATAAGGTCGTTGGCAGGCCCACCATGAATTTGGAGGTGAGACTCATTCGTCGCCATCCGCTACTTGTAGCCCTTTGGAAGGTTCAGGCGGAACCAGTCGTGGGGCGGCGGATTCGTCCATCCTCTGATCCTCCCCAAAGAGATCTGCCCAAGGCCAGGGGCCTCCCCAGGGCCAGGTCTAGGTCTGCCACTGCTTTGCGCTGGCTCCCCGAGGCCGCTTCTCCCTAGGCTGGGCCTGAGAATCTACCCCAAAATCTGCACCCCTACAGGGAACGCCAGAAAGTTGGAATATGGTTTCAGGGTAGGATACCCTATAATTTACCATAGAAGGGTTAGGATAATCATATTCCAACTTTCTGGCTTTTGCCTTAAACCCTGACTCAACCTAACTGGAAAAACTGGCTGCTGCCCTCCCGAAACTCAGCGCCTTTAAGCACTGAGCCCAAAGCACCCTAAACCCCGAACACCAGAATCACACAATCATGTGCTATAATATAGTATCGTATACTATACTATACTTTCCATACTATACTATACTATACTCAACCCCTGAACCTAAACCCCAAAACCTGACGCCAAGCCCGCACCTGTAGTACGTGCCGATCTTCAGGATCATGCCAAACCAATACATGTGCAAGAGGAAGAGGGTGAACTGAGCCGGATCCCGGTTTCTTTGGATTTGGGGCTTAAAGCTTAAGGGTTCGTGAAGTTCTCTTCTATCGCTATCAGTGCTTGATGGGTTTACAACAGGGTTTCGCGTGTTCTTGCACTCCTTAATTTCGAGTCGCATTATAAATGGAAAGCTTTCGGCCGACCATACCGCCGCATTCAGGTAACTTACCTCACAAACCCGAAAGAACCCTACACCCTAAACCCTAAACCCCAACTAACTCCCAAACTTCAAACCCTGAGCCCCAACTCCTCAACAATAATCCCTGGTTCCTAAAAACCTAAACCCCTAACCCCTAAACCATAAATCTCTATATCCGAGCTCCTTAACAAAGACCCGATGAAACCCCACTCTCTGTCTACGTTCCCCGAACCGCCCTGTCATGTACAGCTCTGCAGGGATTCTTCAGCGGTTCAAGAAAGGCTCTACAGCCTATAGCCTAAACCCGAAATGCAATAGGGTTTCTATAGGGCTCATGCAGAAGGTCCTATACGGTCGTGACTCCGGGCGGCTAGCAAGATTGTAATATTGCTAACACGGGTATCCTCGGAACCGCTACGCCATCCTGGATGGCAGGATGTAGGACCTTTCATGTGAGCGAAGAATCCGAAAAGGGTTCATTTTCAGAAAATACATACAGATGTACACATGTTCATAGAGTTTCTTCACATCGTAGACTAAAACATTAGTCCGGGGAGACCTCCCAAACTTTCTATAACAAAGCGGACCGGTCCATAGGCACGAGGATGCAGGTCAATTACAGCAGGGACCCTGAACAAAAGATCCTTGCTGCAGGGATGTTGGGGTTGCTGGGACGGCATCTCTGTCTCCCAGGGCTCCGCACTAAGCCGAAGTTGATGAAACCCCAGGAAACGATTCGCTCAGGACTCGCCTGCTTTCAGTGAAGCTGAACAGCTTCAAATTTAGGCATGTTAAATGTTATGCGTTGGGCTTTGGGGATGAGGGCAAACGAAAGGGACGCCGGGTGCGGAAGTTGCGTTCAAAGTCAAAGCATTTGGGATATCGTTTAGAACAGGGTCAGCAGTGCCTTTGCCTGCATCGGCTGTCGATCCCGCCAACCCATCATCAGCATCATAATGATGATCATCATCATCATCAACATCATCACCGCCAGCACCACCACCATCACCGTCACCACCATCATCATCAAGATCATGATGATAATAGTCATCATCATCATCAGCAGCAAAACCATCACCATGATCCTCGACGCCACGGATGCGATTCAAGCCTTGACAGAACCCTGCTTGCCAGACTGTGAATGTAGGTTGCTGCGATGGGAGGTTTCAACACCACGGGCTAGCTTTAGCTTATGAGCGTAAGGCCTCCTATGACACCCTGAATTCCACAGCTCCCTGGGTTGAAACTCCACCATATCTTTGCTCTAGACACATAGTCGAGGGACAGAGCTGAACAGATGCAACTTCACCTCCTACTCCCTACGACTAACATTCCCCCGTCGAAAACCTACCAATCTGCCAACCATCATACTAAGCAACTAGGCCACGCGCAGCAGCCATGTCCTCAAACTGCCACCCTTCTTATTCGAACTCCGCATAGATGGTGGCTGAGCCGCTGAGCCGGCAAATCCTTCAACCTCAGATTTGCAAACCCTTAACCCTAAACCCGAATGACTCCTGCAAATGTCGATATTAGAGTGTACGATTTACCGGTCCACGCAACAAGGGTCACGCTAGATGAGTGTCCCTGACCTGGAAGCTGCAAATAGCATCAATCCGGCCTCCGGAATGCTCTCCACCCAGACGCTCCTCATTATGGAAACTGGGAAGACAATGATTCTGAACCTGGAAGTCGGCAGGGCTTCGGGGCTCCAGGGCAGAGGGATTCCGGGTTGTTGGGCGTGCGTGTTTTGGGGGTTTTGGGGGCGCAGAACGTGGCGGGGGTTTGGGGCCTGGGGCCGTTGAAAGTCTAGGGGTTGGGCCTCTGGTGCATTTTGTTGCTGTAGTGAGAAAAATGGCTAGATGGGATCTTCCGACCCAAACAGTACTTGCCTTGTTGAGCTGAACCAGGTCGGCGAGTGGGACCTGCATAGGGTTCAGGGCTTAGGGTCGTACTACACCTTAAAACCAACCCCTGTTCCTGAACAGCGACTCAAGTCACCCAAAACCCTCTTGCACCAAGCCGATATTCCGAAAAGACCTTCTTTCCAAACGGCAAGCACAGAGCATGCATAACCTCGACATGCCTTCTAATGCATATAAAAGTCACTAAAACCCTCCTGCAGCACACCCAAATGCCCAACATCTTGCTCGAAGAGGCCCGTCTACCCAACATCCCAAACTGCCCTTGTCGTCCCAACCCCATGAATCCCGAAGCGCCGAAACCCGATCAACAGACTCTTTCCGATCAAGACCCCTATATAGAACCCGCCAGGCAGGCCAAATGTAGGAAGCCTGGGTGATGGGGAGAGATTTAGGGAATCCGGGGAACCCTAAACCCTAACCCCCTAAACCCCTGAACCCAAACCCTAAACCCGTAAACCCTAAACCCCTAAACGGATTTGTCTAGAGTTTCCTTGAGAGGCAGGGCATTGGGGTTTAGGTTTCAGAGTTCAGGAAACTAGCGCCTCGGGATCTAAGGGCCATACCGAGAAGGGGCAGCTTTTGACCCCACGCATTTCATATGCCATAGGAGCTTTGACAAGCAAAAACAAGTGTTTTGGGTGTATGTACATATATATATATATACATATGTATACATACATACATACATACATACATACATACATATAGCAGTAAACCTAATATAGGGACTGCAGTGGACGTTTTGTTCGGGTATAGGGATTTCTGTCCCAGTGTCCGACCCGGGTATGTGGAATACTAGGGGTAAACTCATTCTATATGAGGCATAAGCCCTATATAAGTTGATATGGGTCCTACACAGTCCTAGACCCTGTATGAGATATGAACCATTATACCACAAAACATTAGATCACAAAACCTATATGGGACTCGAATCATGAACCCTGTGCATGACATGGCATATAAACCATATGCGGGATATCAATCATGAGATTTATGTAGGACGTGAACTGTCATAAGCCCCACAGAAGATATGATCTGAATCACAAAACCTGCATGGGATACGAATCATAAACCTGTTCAGGATCCATTCATTCGGTCACGCGGCTATTGGGCAGCCACCCTCTTGGTGGACAATGGCACAACTGGTTCATAAGGGCTCCTTTAAGGGATTCAATTCCTTTATGGATGCTCTTAAGGGACCTATATGATTCCTCTATCGGCGTCGAAAGCTCATGCGCTGTAGCCGAAGAAGAAGGAACAGGCTAAATCTTACGATAGGGGCTTTGGGGATCGACCCTCCGACTCCCCTAAACACGCAGAACCTCCAACAACGTGGCAAACACTGAAGCTTTAGCTTCTAGTGCTCGAAATGTGCAGCGCCCACAGCCGCGGCAGAAAGATCCCCAATGTCCACATGCAGCCAACAGGCCACCAGCGCAAAGTACGAAGCAACTATGCATCGCGTGTTGGGCGTGTCGACCAGTGCCTGAGCGTTGTAAGTAGAGTTGTACTTACCCGTAACCTGAACTTTGAATATCCTGGTCATAAATCTTCTTAAGGTCTACTTGCGAAGTTGCCCCACCCTCTCAGTGTTATAAGTGCTCTCAGTTGAGGCTTTATGCGGCTAGCGCTTTGGGGCCTGTGCCTCCAGAACCTGGCTTAGTGGGTCTAGTTTAGCGTTGTCGGGTCTAGGCGCTTAGGTGTTGCAAGTCTAGCGATGTCTTCGGCAGCAGAAGTAGTAGCAGTCGTCTTTGCGGTCGTCACCGTCGTAGTTGCCGCCGTAGTAGCGGCATCAGTGGAACTAAGATCCAACTCGTGCCTTACCTATATATATATATATATATAGTCTCTATTGTAGTTTAGTTTTTTGGTTAACAATCGTACAGATTAGGATCCTATGCTAGATGTGCTTACCACCCTACTTGTGACCTACATATTCAGTCCCCTGATCCTTTATGAGCTCTAAACCTGCCCAAACACATCGTAAGGCCTTCTAGGATCCTTACTGAGAAACCTTCCGGGATTCATCGAACCGCAATAATTTGACCCACCCGACCTTGGAAAGGTAGACGAAAATGTCGGTCACCCCATGGAGGAGCAACACCAAACTGCCAATGCCTCCGCGGCTCCAAGGAACCGTTGAGGCTTTAGGGCCTTCGGGCTAGGGGCTTGGGTACGGTTGATGATATAAATCCTGCATTACCTTAAGGACCCTAAACTATGGGAATTATGGTATATGATTATGGGTCAGGTAGGATTGATATCATCAACAGTATTTTAGACCGGGGGTGAAGACTTTTGGTCCTCAGCGGTTCGGGAGTCGGGGGATCAAGTCTGGGATTTAGGGCGTAGGTTTAGGGTTAAGGGGTTAAGGGTTTAGGGGTTTGGCTTAGGGTTTAGGGGTTCAGGGGTTTAGGGGTTTAGGGCTCAGGGTTGTCGGCGTCGGGTTAAGGATCGAAAGACTTTGAGGTTCAAGCTCTAGGAAAAGCGTGTAGTTTGGCGGCTTCAGCTCTGGGTTTAGGCGCGTCAGGGTTCACCCAAAGGGTCCTATGTACTGTTATGGGGGATACTTCCCTAAGTCATTATAGCAATTCCTATTCTGGAAACCCTACATTCTACTATATCGGTACATAGGACCCTTTGGGTCAGGAGGTGTGAGGTTGAAGGCTTCGGGGTGTCCGGGGTTTCGGGATTCCAAGGGTCAACCTTAAACCTCCGAAGGCGGTCAGCAGCTTCAGATGATGGGAGGCCAAGAGAGGGGTTTTAAGATTCTTGGGGTAGGGATTCCTTAATATGAACCCTACTATGGGAACCCTAATCCCTACTAAACCCCCATAGGCTAAAACCCCTTTTGGCCTCCTATGGTTAGAGTGGGTTGTTTAGGAGAAGCGGGGTCGAGAGATGGTTTACGATCTGGTGCGTTTTTTGATGGTAATATCATGTAACATGCTTCGCTAATACAACCTTGCTTACCAAATCCCAAGATCCTCCGAGTTAGGGCTTAAAGGGTGCAGCGTAAATCGGGTCTGGGACTACATGGGTAGTTGTCAAAATTATGGTCCCTCTTTGGGTCCCTAATAGTACGGCACCTAATATTTAGGGTACCCAACAAGGGACCCTAATTTTGACAACCACCCACATCTAGGGCCCAGAGATTGTTGCATGTGAGTGTAGTCGGAATGGGGCTCGCAACTTTCGGACCCGACATCCCTGAAGGAGGGCCCTGGGTTACTGTGATCAAAGGGGAAAAGGAGGGACCCTTATTGGGGACCCCTACCCTATAATGGGCTATATAATGGGTATATAATAGCTGTATTAAGGGTATATACCTAGAGGTCCGTATTAAGGGTCCCTCCTTTTACCCTTGGATATGAAGAGTTCCTTCGAAAAGGTCATCCAGCTTATTGGGCTTAAGGGGTAGGGGTGACAGGCGACTCTGCCCGCTCAACATATCTTAACATGCTCAGGACCAAGAAGCCCTCGTTTCGAAGAACAGCTACGCCTCCCCAAAGGATTCAGGGATGAGGGATGTTGTGCGACGGAACGAGGCTGAGATGAACTCCAGACAGAAATCTCGGCGATCTCCGACCACTTGTACCAGCAGGAGCAGCTTGGGCCCCGTCGGCTCGAAGCCTAATACAGATACAGTACACGCCATGGCTTGCCATCATAGCTGAGAAACCCAAGCCCTTCACGTCCTGATCTCTGTAGAACAAGTCACGAAGCATACACACCTGGGCAACATTATCCGAACCCTGCATTCTCCACCCTTGCATGTGAACCTCACACCCCAACACTCCAACACTCTTAAGCCGTGCACCCCGTGTAAACCTCCACCATAGTACTGTCTGTTCGAGAACCGACCTACATTATCACAATCCCTATATGGAGTACTCGCGGCCTCGACCCTAAACGACGAAATGCCGACACACCCGCCTGAACAACCCTACACCATCCAAGATCCTAAATATTCCTGACACTTAGAAATCAGATAAACTCTCAGGTTGATACACTCTAAGGGTCCATGTGCCCAAATAGTATATACTTTGGCCTGAAAGTACTCCCTATGTAGATACATTGGGCCCAAAGTATATACTATTTGGGTACATGGACCCCTGGGGGCAGGTTCATACACCGGGCTCCAGGTCAAACTCGCAACACTGAGCTGTCAATCGTGTGTTTAGGTTTACCGACCTGGGCCGTGTTTAACGGATCAGGAGATGTATAGTAGCTACTGGGGCCATAAACTAACCATAACTATACTTTAAGTAACTGCTTGAAATCCTGATAAATGTGCTTCCAAGCTTACGTGCCTATTAAGTCACCTAAACACTGAACCTTTATACGTAAACCCACAAGTAGTGTTTACTGCTTGTAAACTAAACTAAACCCAAGCCAGTGTTTACTGAGGCTCCGTCGGATGTAGCTGAGCCCGTATGAGAAAACCACCAGGCAACACCTGCACAGCCGCCGACGCTTGCTTCGGATTTCCGGTCCATTGCATACGTGATGCAACCCAAACTGGAGACCCTATCATAGGAGGCCAAAAGGGGGTTTAGCCTATGGGGGGGTTTAATAGGGATTAGGACCAGGATTCCCATAATAGGCTTCATATTAAGGAATCCCTACCCCAAGAATCTGAAAAAAATCATTTTGGCCTCCCATCACCCTAAACCCTAAGCCTAAACCGCAACCCAAGATGGAGTACACCTGGCAGTTTGCAGGCTGGCATACCTAAAACCCCTGGCAGCCTCTACAATATCCCAAAGGGTCCAAGGTACCGATATGGTAGACTGTCGGGCTTCTATGTTTGGAATTACTATTATGATTTGGGGAAGTATCAGCCATAACAGTACCTAGGAGCCAGTGGATATGGGTACTTCTCTAAATTAGGGTCCTTTGTACCCGAATACGGCATAAAAAGGACTCTGAAAGGGAGCCTAATAAGGGCCCAATGTAGACAGCTGTCTTTCAAGGCTGAACGGTATTGCTTGGTCTGCTCTGACTATGAGTACGGTACGCCACCGGCACTATTCGCACTTTCTTTACTTGCGGTACTACCAGCATCGCCGGTTCTATGATCATGCGAATATTGAGGCTGTTCTACAGCGTGGCGCCTACCGGGTTCTTGTTACAATGACCTACTACCACAATACTGTGAGTATTCCAGCATTTCCACTTCACCCGTGTCCTAAACCCTAAACCCCAAACCCTAAACCCTAAACCCTAATGGCCATGGTGTTGATCACCCAATCCCTCATTAAACTCCAAACCTTTAGCCCGAACCCTCGAACCCTCAACCATATACAGTAGAAGCCAGGAAGTTGGAATATCATTATCGTAACCCCTTTAAGGTAAACTATAGGGTATCCTACCCTGAAACCATATTCCAACTTTCTGGAGTTCCCTTTACTTGGAGGGTCGGGGGACTTAGTAAGTAGGTAGTAAGTAGACTTACAAGTACCCTAAAAGGGACCCTAATTGGGGATATGGTACTTATAAGTCCCTAAGAATAACCAGTTACTAAGTCCCCCGACCCTCCAAGTAGTCTCCAACACCTCAGCCCAAAACCCTAAACCCCTCTCCAGCCCTTGGAGCCCTCGTGAACTGGGCTCCCATGCGTGACTATGTGGTGCAGGAGCATCTCCCAGAAATCCGGATGCCTCACCTTTGAGATTATAGGGTTTAGGGGTTTAGGGTTTAACCTTCAGGGTCTTGAGATCCGGAACATCATTGGACTCAGTGAGAAGGCCATGAGAGCTATGTGATTTGGGGATTCAGGATCAGTAGACTCGGCTCTACTCTCAGTACGGATTCTCATGATGAGGTGTCATAATATGTAGGCTTCTTTAATTAATGGCTTTTCAGTCGACCATGCCCTCAAGAATGTACGAGCAAGACAAGTTCTCTAACCCTAGAACTACAAAACAAGGCATAGGGGATTTCTCCAGGGGGTGCACGCCCTAAACCTGAGTGCACCTACCCGTCAACGATGGTCGGGTTGCATGGGAGGACGGTTGTAGGTATCCCTACACCCCAAACCCTAACATCCGACGTCTGTGTTAGCTTGGCAACCTCCGAACAAAAACAGCGCCTGACGAAACCAGAAACCCTAGACCCTGACGAGGACAAGCTCGCATGGTAGAAGACTCAAGAACTTTGCAATCCTGTGAACTCGTATGCTGCATGCGTGGTATGCCCAGAACCGAAAGTTAGTCGAGATCTTGCTCTGCAGCATGAGCGGAATCGTCCTACAATAAACGGCATGGGGACATACCAGGATTACTGTGAATGAGATGCAACGCATCGCATAGAGGGCAACGTCTATATATATATATATATATATATAATCTCCTATATACTCCAAACTTGCACGTCCTTGGGTTTGGCCCATGTGCGAAACCTGACACAGCTCATAGAGAGCCGTGCGAAAGCCCCCAGCCTCTAGAAGCAGCATGACTACCTGCAGGCTGGTTGGATGTTTGCGGCTCAAGGCTTCCAGGCTGCAGGATCTGCGGCCAGAGTTTAGTGGTTACATGTGCTTCGCCACCCCCAAAAGCAAATCCAAATGATCAAGCTGGCTGAAGGACGGGTTTCTTTCGGTTCCATCTGCACCCTCCTTAAAATGTTAGGCCTCGAACCGTAAAATCCCATATACAAAAGAAAACCTGAGCCCCTCTTGATGAGAATCCCGACAAGTACACTTCGAGACTTGAATTTCTACTTGTACTTTCTGCTTTTGGGGCATACGTGGCATGGCGCATGGAAGGGGCCGGCTTAAACCCCTCGCGAAAACGGACCCATGTATCAAGAAGCTGCCGAAATCGGGCAGAGGGTCTAAGTGAACTCGAAACCGCAAAGGGCAAGGCCCCTACTCTCACAACGACCCGCGAACTCAAACCTTTGAAACCACATGAGCACATTCCGGTAGCTGCATCTCTCTGAACACTAAATCCTGCAAAAAAGGACCCTGAGAGGAAGTCTCACGTACACCACGCCTAATTAGTTCCTACCTGGACCCCAAATAACCATGTATACAAGTCCTTGAAGCGGCGGGTTATTCGGGCTTAAGCGGTAAGCCCTAAACCTGCGCACCTCGGACAGATGGTAGCCTACCGCAGTCAGGTAGAAGCTGCAGAGTTCTGAAGAGAGATCCTGCGCTGGATTGGGCCCTGTAAGGTGGAGGGATTTAGGGCTTTTAGGGTGTATCCGGGCTTAAGGTTTAGGGTCAACCGAAAGGCCCGATACCCTAATCTAAAGAGCAAAAGGAACCTGAAACTCTATCAGAAGTCCGATCAGTTAGCTCCAAACACCCGTAAACCCTAAACCCCAAACACCCGCTACCTTTCTGAGATCTCAAGCCTGAACCCTCAGAACCTGATACCGATCCCCAACCCTGCATAATCCCAGGTGGCTTTAGCGGAAGACTACGTAGCTTTGCAGGTCCGATTTCCCTGAACCCTGAACCCTAAACCCCTGGACCCTAAACTCTGGGGATTTTGACGTCAACTCAACCAAGGCTTCGGGTTTCCCACACCCTTCAAAGGATCTAAAAGATAGAACCCCAACAGAAGCATCATCATGGAACCACATAATGGCTAATCAACCGCGCAATTTTCGACTCAAGGGCTTCATGCTTGGATCCTTTTCGGCGATGTTCCAGCGATGTTCCAGTAATGGGTGTTTCACACTACCGTACCTCATAGATCGGTTTGCTGTAGGCCTCATGCTTCCAAAACCCAAACCTGAATCCTATGTGTAAACCAACGTATTTACAAAAACTTCCTCTTCTTAAAATCCCCACACATTGAAAGTCCACAGAAAGACTACACTGCTGCAAAACCCAGCCTGTTAAGTCCCATACCTCCCTTGTAGATTCCCTTAGAGATCCCTTTAAGGATCCCTTGTAGCTTCCCTTATAGATCCCTTTAAGGATCCCTGGTAGCTTCCCTTATAGATTCCTTTAAGGATCCCAGCCTGGTAAGGATAGCCTCGCCAACAGTGGCGTGTATCCCCGCTGCCGCCCAGTAGACGTGGCAGCCACGGCTGGTCTGCCCATGCGGGTTTAGGGCTTATGGGGTTTAGGGTTTAGGGCTTATGGGGTTTAGGGTTCAGGGTTTAGGGTCTAATAAGGCTGGTTGTCAAAATCATGGTCCCAATTTGGGTCCTTATTATAATACGGCACCTTATATTTAGGGTACCCAAAAAGGGACCATAGTTTTGACAACCGCCCATGTGGGTTTAGGGCTTGGGGCTTTCCTTGAACTACCATAACCCAGTTTTCTGTAGGTGTTCACCATAAGCCCTACTATAGAGTTTGTGGGACCTTGCACACAAGTAGGTCTTGGTAGTTCAGGTTGGGGTCTTGGGGTTCAGGGTTCAGAAAGGTCGGCCGTTGGTAGATTCCAAGCCCTTTAACCCTTAACCCTGACCCCTAAACCCCAAAACTTTACACCCTCAACCTCAAGCCTAAACCCTTAACCCTGAACCCTGAACCCCAAAACTTTACATCCTCAACCTAAAGCCTAAACCCTTAACCCTGAACCCTAATCCCCAAAAACTTACATCCTCAACCTAAAGCCTAAAGCCTTAACCCTGAACCCTAAACCCTTGACCCTGAACCCTAAAGCCTTGACCCTGAACCCAGAACTCCTAAACTCTACACCCTCAACCCCAAACCCTGAGCCTGAACGTGAAGGGCTTAAGACTTAAGGGTTTTAGGGTGGACGGTTTTGGGGCTGAGGGTCGGTTCAGGATTTTGAGGTAATCCCAGGAGGAATAATACATAAGGTTCTGCATTGACAAGGGCTTTACAAGGCTGATTACAGGTTTCTGGTATATCGGCCTTAATGCTTAGAATTGGGCTTTGGGGTATGTTGTAGTAAGTATTATAGTATGTAATAGATGAAGAATAGATGCAGACTCAACAGTGACGCTAATGATTATTCCGACTCCGAAACTCAAATCAGGTCTCAGAAATCCGAGTTCCCAGTATCTGACAAGTTCATGGAGCCCCACCGTACCTACAACCCTCGAATGTCGAACCTTGTTTTGGATGGCCTGTTTCATGGTTGGGATCTTACAAAAGACTCGGGCAACTAAAACGAACTGCCACATTCTAGGTTCTAGATAAGGCTGTGATGACTGAAGCTTGATCAGGTGTACCTGAAGCTCCAACAACCTACTATCATTATCTACTGACCTGTATTGTTTGGGGGCTATTAGTAGGTACAAGACGGTTGATGATATAAATCCTGCATTACCTTAAGGACCCTATAGGACATCACATGTCTCTGGCACCCGAAAAGTGCCACAAATGGCTGGCCTTTTGACCCCCGGGAGATTTTTTCGGAAATCCGCCTGCCGGTAAAACCATGTAAAACCCGTCTTATCTTGAGATGCGATGGCCAGGCATTTGTGTTTCGAGAAACGTCGACCCCAAACGGGAATAGCCGAGGTCAAAAATCCAACTGCCAGCCTTTTGTGATGGTGGATTCCTTCTCCCCTCATCCTCTCTCATTCTCTCCGTCTCTCCCTACCTCGTCCTCCCTACAGAGTGTGGCCTCTTGCTCAGCCGGCACTTGTTGAGCCTGCTGGGGCCTCAGCCCTCAAGGCGAGGCCCCTTGCGCCGGCCCCTCCGCGTCTTTCCCTTCAGGCAACACACTAATGGCTGGCACATCGGTAGTCGGCTTTCAGAGTTCCCTGAGTGCGCGGGAAGCTCAACCCTCGCATGGCATTCATTCCAAGCAGGTATATATACAAGACATGAACCCCGTGCATGCCGCCGCAGCAAGAGCAAGACAGTCTCACTCTCTCCCCCTCTCCGGACTCTCTCCCTCTCTCCTGCTCTCCATCTCTCCCTCTCTCCCTCTCTCTCTCTCTCTCTCTCTCTCTCTCTCGCTCTCTCTCTCTCTCTCTTTCTCTCTCTCTCTATCTCTCTCTCTCTATCTCTCTCTCTCTCTCTCTCTCGCCTCGCTCTCCTTCTCTCGAAACTGGTATGCCTGCCTTTTGTTCCTGAACGATCCCTGGCCCCAACCCTGGCCCCAACCCCGGCCCCAACCACACCAGATCGTGCTTATGCGGCGCGGTCTGGACTCACGTGTGCCTGAAGCTTGTGCTTGGTGTTTTCCGCTGCCCCGATACCCCCCTTTTTCTAGGCGTGCCAACCATCTGCTCACAGATGCAAAACACCATAAATCACAAGTTTCAGGAAATCGGCAGTCGATTTGCTCGACCCAAAAACTTGTGATGTCCTATAAACTATGGGAATTATGGTAAATTCCTTATTATTGGTAATGCAGGATTGATATCATCAACAGTACGTCCCAAACCCAATCCCGTGAAGCGCCTAGTTTGCCTCCTTTGGAGATGCGAAGAGTTTTTTTCGGGTCTGGGGTCGGGTCCAGAGAGGTCCCGGGTCTGGGGTAAAGGTGGGGTAGGAGTTTTTAAATTTCGGGCGTAGGGTCGTGAGGTCAAGGATTTAGGGTTTCGGTTGGGGGTTTGAGGGTCCAGGGATTTAGGGTTTAAGATTTTGGGGTGCAGTGTCCCGGGGTCTTGGGTTTAGGCAGGTGGTTCAGGTCTCAGTTTTGAGGCCGTTGACACTTGACACATTTAACTCATTTAACAACGTTCCCCCGTGTTCCGCGCCTCTGAGAAGTGCATAGCACCATGTAGTCATAGCGCAGTAGTAGCAGCACCTACTGCCATTCGGATTCGGGACACTCCCAGCTTGGCTGCAACATGAACTGGAGATCCGTGTTCTTCGAGGCTTCGCACTTCGATAGATTTGTAGAGAGCCTAAAACTTTCGGATAGCAGGGTTCATGGATTGCAATCTACGGATTTATCGCGATAGCATTGAAGATCACCGGGTCCAGCAACAAGCATCCTGAACCCTCTGGCCCTACTCCCCAGGCTGTTTAAGAAGGAGCAGGCGGATTAGTAGATAAGCTAGCAGTAGAGGTAAAGCAAGAGTATGGCCACCAGGACAGCATAGTCAGCATGGCCACATATTACGAAGCTTATCACAACAATATCACTCTACAGTAGCTCTTGATCTACCTACGAATTGCCCAGATCTTGTAAGAGTAAGCCCAAAGCCCCACATCTAAAACCCGAACCTGCAAACCACCAAGTACTGGTAACTCCATGTTCCGACGGCAACTCCCGGTCACAAGCTGGGTTACCGACAGCAACTTCTGCAGAGACTTATTAGTGCACCCGAAAGACGAGATCATAGACCTTGTGTTCATCGCGACAGACAATACAACTGGCAAAAGCTGCGAAGATTGCAACTCCAGTCGGATCATACCCAATCCTACCCATGATCAGCATCAACATCTCGTCATCTGTCGACATCACTGTGCTGGCTCTGCTGCTGCACATATATCACCGAAATCAACAAGGCCTGAATGTGGCATTTGCGCCTGCTCACTAGGTAATACCACTTTGATTGCCGAGAAGGGCGCTTGAAAATCGAGTCGCAGCAGCGAGTGACCTGACGTTGGACAAGGGGACCGTAGAAGCCACACATAACCATGAGAATAGAACTTGTGATATCTTCGAGTATACTCATTTCAATCAGGAGCCCTCAGGAATAGTTGTGCTAAATAAATGGGCATGACTCTATATGACTAAGAGCCAGAGACTCGATTGTAAATCTTAGAACTCATCAGCTGCGATGAAACAACCCTCGACACACGAAACCAGAAATCCCGAAGTCTTACAAAACAACATCCAATATACTCATTGACAACGAGTTGATGGGGGCTTCTCGAGCTTAGGGGCCGTGTTTTGTACGTTGCAGAAGGAGATGCTTGCTATCATCACTTAACCCTCAGCCCTGAAATGAGGCTGACAAAAATGGGTGGTTGTCAAAATTAGGGTCCCTTTTTGGGTCCTTGTTTTAATACGGCACCTATTATTTAGGGTACCCGAAAAGGGACCTTAATTTTGACAACCACCCAAATGAAGCTGTCGCAAGGAAATCTGAACTTAGAGCCGCCGAAGCTCTCTGGAAAGCGGCGGGTCGTTAAACCAAATCCAGTTTGGCCCTGACAGCCGCCGAAGCCTCTATACATACACACATACATACAGTTATTGTATTATAGTAAAGTAAGGTACAACACATTATTACATTCTGACAACATAAACCTGGATTCCTAGAAGCCGTAAGCGCTTAAGTTTAATTGTTCCGAAGCCTTTCCCGCAGTTGTGCGTCTCGGACTCGGACAAAGGTTTGAGGACGGGCCGCCAGCGACCACTTTCCATCGCTCCGACATCCAACACCAGACACAGACACACCCGTTGGAAACCACAAGGGGGGAAGGGGGGGGGGGGCGGGGGAATCTCTACGCCCTGATTCAGCATCCAATGCTGAATTGCTAGCACCTGCGCTCCTACGCCTGAGACCCCAAACCTTGAACCCCCCAACCAAATCGGGGCTGCCTTGGCGCCCCAGACTTGGTAGGACCATCGCGGCTTCTTCGGAATCATTGCTCGGGCTACCTGGGCAGTAGAGTTTAGGATATGGGCTTTAGGGACTTCAAGCTTCTTCAATACATAGTCCTTTAAAGGGATCTATGAGGGTACCTTTAAGGGATCTATAGGGGGTTTAGGGTTTAGGGTTGATGATATAAATCCTGCATTACCCATACTCAGGAAAATTACCATAATTCCCGTAGTTTAGGGTCACTAGGGTAATGCAGGATTTATGTCATCAGCAGTAGTATCACTGGTAAAGCAGAAAGGAAACGAAGACTAGGACAACAAAGCTACCCTGAAACCCGCTTTGGCCCTTGTACTTATAGTTTGTTCTCTGCTGAGGAATTTCAATCTAGGAGGTCGTGTGTGCAGGCAGAGATAGATAATGGTTCTGGGAGTTATAACGTTTAGGGCGCCGTTGTCGAATTTTGAACCTCTGATGTTCATCGTTGTTGTATCTGACGACTTTGTTGCTGTTGTGTGCCACACCGTGCATTCAAATCACAGGCAGGGACGCAACGACCCAATGTAGCACTTTTCCTCCAACCCTTCCAATACAACCTCGAGAGGTGGGCTCGCAAGCCTCTTGGACAAGCCTGTATACACTCTAAATGTCAAACCGTGAGCATCCCCGTCGGCCACCAAACCACTTCATGGCCGCAGCCTTGCGACAGAACGGCCTCAGGCCAACATCAAATATCAAAACGTCCGGAAAACGAACCACAAAGCGACGTGTAGCTCTCTTCTGCTAGAACGGAACTACATGCAAGCTACCTGTAAATTGAACCCTAAGCCGTAAACCTAGATTCGTAAACCCTATACCGTAGCCACACCTTAAAACCCGGGCCCCTGGCTGGAGCAAATAGATACCGGAAGAGCAGCTGGGCGACCAGCATACCTGCATCCAGCCCAAGGCATGTGCTTTAGTTTTTTTATGCAATGTAGACATCAGGCGAATAGCCCCCTTATCTTTACAGGCTGTACATGACAATCCCTGTTGTTATCCTAGAATCCGCATGTACTAGGCACGTTTCTGCTTAGGGTGGAGCTTTCGGATGTACGACTCTCGGGGGTTAGGATGCGGCTGTTTAGAACAAAGGAGCTAGGATCAAAGGTTCCAAGTTGGGCAACCCACAAAACTGTCAAAGCCCATGCCAGTTAGGCTGGGGTTCGGGTTAATGATGGAAGTCCCATACTCTTATGCCTAACCCTGGACTCAGGAACACAACACAAACTCTCCCCCAAATGGCCCTAATAGCACCCATGCAAGAACCCCATAGATAACAGCCTACTGTAACAAATCCGCTTAAGAGTTCTTAGAGAGGACCCTTAAGTAGCCTTAAAACGGTACCCTATTACAGAACCCTTGCTCTCCAAAAGAAGCTCTCGACCAAGGCCCACCCCATAAACCCTAAACCCTAAAACCCTAAACTCTAAACCCAAAACCCTAAACCCTAAAACCCTAAACCGTGATTCCAGAGCCTCCGAAGCGAAGCGCTCCGTGCCTGCAAGGTCTGAAGAGGCTTCTTTTTCTGATTAGGGCCCCACCCTAAGGGTCCAGGTATCTCCCTAGGAGGAGTCCCAGGGAGAGTCCTTGGGTCTCTTTGGGGTCTCAGAAACCCTGCATTTTGAGGTTCCCCAATTTGTTAGGACCCTTAGCGCAAAAACATAAAAACACAAATTAGGACAGGGATGTCCCATATCACCACCCTTATAATGCAGCCCCAGAGGGTAGGGATATGCCTATAACATGCTTACGCGTATGTCCTTTAATGGCGTCCCTAAGTGTGATGTTTGGGGTGTACCACGGGCCCTTTAACAGAGTCCTTTATGACCCTAAATAGCGGGTATTTGGGGTATATCAGAGGGTAGTTGGGGGATCTAGGTAGGGTTTAGGGGATTTAGAGTTTTGGGTTTATTGTAGGCTTGAGGGTCCAGGGCTTGTAGAGTTGCGGGTTTTAGGGCTTAGTGCTTGTTTGAAGGGCCCTTTTGCAACTGCAAGTGATGTTTTCATGCCTGAACGAGTGCTATTGCGATCTCGAACCCTGGGATGATACAAGCGGGCTCACCTCTGTACTGTGCGAACTTACACACCAACCACATTGGGTCCTGAAAGCCAGGCGGGGCAACAGGTTGTGAAGGCTGCATTGTCTGTTGCCATGCTTTGACAAAGCATGAGCTGGACTTCTCCGCATGGCAGCCTGCTTAGAGGATCATGGGACTTAGTAACTGGGGTTATAATTAAGGTAACCATACTTATAAGTACTTCTAACCCCAATTAAGGTACTTGTATCCTTACTTACTAAGTCCGATGGTCCTCCAAGTGGCTGCATTGCTTCGCAGCCATGCATCTTCTTCGCCCTGAGTCCGAAACGGTAAACTTATAGGGGTTTATCTACAGAAGAGCCCTACTAGACCCTAGGCCCTGAACCTTAAACCCTAAACCGTAAAACCTAAACCCAACACCGAAAGGAACCCGAAACAAGGCCCTCAACTTAGGCTTCGGCGTGTACTTAAGTTTGGAGTGTAGGGTTTTATGGTACTATACGCCACTCGGTGTAAAGTATTTGCGATGAAACTCCCTCGACATGGCAATCTGGAATCTCTGAACAAGAGCCCTGCTAGAAACACCCCATTGATCTGAACCCTACAACCCCCACCCCACTTTAAGCTCCCTAAACCCTTCATCCTGTACCCTAAACCCTGAAAACTTAAGCCTAGCCCTAAACCCTAAACCCTAAACTTCCTAAGCCCCAAAGCCGTTCTGCCGAGGTGCAGGAGTTCATGCTGGGTACTCCCCGCCACCTGCATATTGCTCGAGAGTTCGGATTGCCGGTGTGTTTGGGGGTGCGCGTCTAGGGCCTCGGTTTCAGGGTTCTCAGACTTGAGAACTTTAAAGGGCTTTGATGCCTTTTGGGTATGGGGCTACATGGTTTGCAGCTTTACCTGGGCATCTAAGAACTCACGCTTCAAGATGTGTCGCAGCAATGGCCACGCACCATCAAGAAAGGTCCCTGAACCCAAAACCCTAAACCCTAAACCCCTAAACCGTAAACCACTAAACCCCTAAACCCGAAATCCTAAACCCCGAAACCCTAAACCCTAAATCCCAAAGCCGGAACCCTGAGCCCTACCGTGGTGTTGCAAGGCTTCGGCGTGCGCGGCGTGTCGGCACTCTCTGGTGCAGAGTCTGGGTAGACTCCGGACAGAAAGCTTGGGGTTCCCTTAAAACCCAAGTACCTAATTATCATACACTCCCCAAGACTAGACCCAAGAGTATCCTAGGAATAGAAAGCGTGCCCTTTTTGGTTTAAAGGGGCTTATAATGGAACCTGAACCCTAAAATTAGGGAATAAGGACCTGCTCTTAGGGGTTACCCTAAGGGTCCATGTACCAAAACAGTATATACTTGGGCCGTATCGTAGTCCCCATTCAGCCAATGTGTGTGCTGCTTGGGTACCTGGGAATGACAGGGTTTATACTGTAGGCTCTAGGAAGATTTTAGGGCTTTAGAGGTTTGCCTATGGTCTGGATTGTAGTTCCTTGTTTGGTCAACCAGTTTTATGTTTGGGCTCCTACAATAGAGATTTTGGTTCAACCAAAAAAGGAACTACAAAGGAGACTATATATAGGTATCATGAAGCATTATAGGCTAGAGGTCTTTAGGGATTTAGAGTTTGTAGAGCTTCCGGGCTTATACAGATTAGGGTTAAGGGTTGTAATTGACCTTCATGCAAAATGTATGCATCAAAGCCGCGATGCCAATCCAGCACCTCCTGAGCCTTGTGTTTGAGCCTGCCATCATCTTCTCGACCCCTTTCTCGCTTCTGCAGGCGATTATTTCGCATTTCTGCCTCTGCCAGTGCTCGTCGTGATTGCGCGGGACTTATTCGCAGAGGAACCCGGTGCTACCAGAATCCCCACTGCCATCATGAAACCTTGAATCCGCAAACCCGAATTTCTGCACTGTCTATCTTATAATTTCATTTCTAAACCTCAAACCCGAAACCCCCAAATAGACCAAAGTCCAGAGCCGCAAACACCGTAAGCCCCAAGAGTCCTGGACCCCCTTTAACTCAACCCCCGCACGGGCTCACGGAGTGGAGTTTCTGTCACTTTTTGCGAAGTAAGGTTACACGAAACCCAGGGTAGGGTAGTAGGGTGGGGTAGGGTAGGGTAGGGCAGGGAAGGGTAGGGTAGGGTAGTTGTAGAGGGTAGTAGTAGGGTGGGGTAGGGTCACAAGATCCGCACCTCCTGCGACTCCTGCGGCTTTTTCAGTTCCCGCGCTCTGCTCTCCTGGCTATTTTTTGCTGGGATGATGACTCCCTGTTCCTGGTCTTCCTGTGTCTAGCGATGCAGGTTCCTTCAAGGTTGAAGGGCTCGTCAAGCTTAGACCTAGACATGTGCTTCTTCTTGTAGGGTTTCAAGCTTGAAGGCTGTGGGGACTTTCAGGTCTTTGGGGTTCAGGTTTAGGGTTTAGGGTGTAGGGGTTGGTATGGTCTTAGTATAGACCCTGGTATGCAGCTGCTAAAGATATTTGATTTAAAAACTCTTGCCTCGAGTTTTCACATTTTCGGAGCTTTCTGGCCCGGGAAGCAAGGGATTCGAAGCATTTCATAACGTCATCAGCTCATGGTTACAAGTAATTAGGCCTCGGATTGTTAGGACCGGATGCCAGGGATCCTATAAGGGAGCTATAATGCAGATCCCCTGCTCGTATCGGAAATGATGCAGGGGATTCGATGGCCCTCAGTTTCTTTCGTTTGTCGTTTCGCCCTTTAGATATACTTTAGATTCTCTAGATGATGTTATGGTGGCAATCGAAACGGTAGACTAATCACTAATCCTCGAAATTTCAAGCCGCGCGACACGTTCGCACTGTACTTCTGAACCCCCTAGCGCCTCCAGGCCGAAGCCCAGAGACTTCCCTAAGGGTCCCTAATCATCATATGGGAGTTTCCGAAAATAGGGGGACCCTAAACTAGTATCCTAAATAGTAGGATCGTTATTATAAGGACGCCAAAATAAGGTGCCCCCAATTTTCGGAAACTCACATACACTCTCCCAAACCCCAACCAACGACCAGTACACCCTAAATCCGAAGATCTGATTGCGAGGTGCTTTGGATCCTCGAGCCTTTTCGCATCCAGAAAGTCCAGTACCAATGGCTCTCGAGCGTCGAGTTTGCGATAGTGTTTCGGGTCGAGGGTTAAGGCTTCGGGTTCTAGGTTGGCCCTTTAGATCCTCTGACAAATATTCGTAAAGAGGGTCCTATTAAGCCCAATGAGGGAAAATAAAAAATGTCCCAAAGGCCTACCTAGGGTTTGGGGTATGAGGGTTAGAGTTAGGGCGCCTTCTCCAGGGTTTTCGGGTTTAGGTCGGGGGTCCGGGCTTCTAGCTGAGGCTGAAAGTCTTGCCCAAAGGGTCCTATGTACTGTTATGGGGGATACTTTCCAAAGTCATTATAGTAATTCCTATTATGGAAACCCTACATTCTACTATATCGGTACATAGGACCCTTTGGGTTGGTTCCGGAGTTGGGTTCTGGGGCTTTTGGGTTCTAGGGTTATGGCTTCAGGCCACACTACACAGGCCTGCGGGGAACACTGTTCAGGATTTGGCCGTGTACATACACCGCCGTAAGTAGAAGTAGAACCTATACTCTTAAGCGTAACTTTGTTCGTGGCTAAGCCTCAGGGTGCTAGACTAAACCGAAAACCTAAACACCAAAACCCCAAAAGCTACAGACTCATCACACCCGAAAAACCCTAGAACACGCCTAACTCCCATGCCATGTCAATTCCAACCCCTAACGCCTAAGACCTTACTCGCCCCTAGAGGCCAACATCCAAATTGTTGGGGGAGCCACCCTAAGCCCCTCTACACTCTAATCCCCAAACCCAGGGCTTTGAAGTAACCAAGGGGAGACAAGTATAACTTCTGCTTCATAATGGCTCCTTTAAGGAACAGATCCTCAACAGACAATAAGATACTCCAAAACCCAAAACCCTCAACCCCCAAACCACGCCGCTCCTTGTAGATTTCCTGGCCCACTTGCAGGGCCCAGATCAGAGCAACTGCCAGCAGTCCACGGAAGAGCAGGTCCTCTGTGGGCAGTTCTCTAAAGAAGGGAACCTTTTAGGGCCCTTTCTACAGGGGCGCGGTACTATTCTGGGGACCTACAGATAAAGGGCCCCTAATTTAGAGAAATACTCCTTTCGGACAAGGGTTTAGGATTTGGTGTCTGGCCTAAGCCGACAAATCGAGTGCTTGTGTTCTGGATACCGTGGTTCTTACCATGGGATGCGGGATTTGCACCCCCCCCCCTCCCCAAGTACCGACTTGATTGGTTTAAGGCTTAGTTTTTGTTTATTTGGGAGGGGGCTTTTGTGCATCAGCCGCAACGATCGCACTTTAGACTTGGTTTAGAGTTTAGGGTTCAGGGTTGAAGGGTCTGAAGTTCAACGGAGCCTTAAGGCTCAAAAATGGCCCAAAAGCCTTCCATAAAACTAGAACTTAAAAGCCAAGCCTTCCATAATAGGGTCTTTAGGCCCAAAAGCCTCAACAAAAATAGGAGTTCATAGGGCCTCAAGGTAGAAGTTTGCGTTTGCGCCCGGCTGCTTCCGGCCCTCAGATTTTCGGTTTTCTCGCGAACTTCGGGATTCCGACTCCCAAAGGGTCCTACGGTTGATGATATAAACCCTGCATTACCTTAAGGATCTTAAACTATGGGAATTATGGTATCTTCTTTATGCTGGGTCATGCAGGATTTATATCATCAACAGTAGGTGCTGTTATGGGGAATACTTCCCCAAATCATAATGGTAATTCCTAATATAGAAGCCCTAAATTCTACTATAGAGGTACTTTGGACCCTGTGGGAATAGCCTGAAACCTAAACTTGGGTTTGAGGTCTAATTTTTAGGGCTTAGGGTTTAGGTATCAAGCCTTAAAAGCCAAACAAATACTCCGAAAACCATCTTACACCCCCTATAAAACCCTCCTCTTCAAGCCTTGTAAATTTACCCTAAGGCCCCAAAGTAGTTCCTTTTTGGTGTTCATATTTAAAATTTAGAATCCTATAAGGTAATCCCAAGAAGGAACTACTTTGGGGCCTATGGCCTATGGGTATGGAACACTGAAGATTCGTAGTAAACACTGATGCGGATCGGTGCCTTCGCCCCGGACATTGGGACGACGGCCCCCCTGGAGTCGCTTGCAATGTGTTGTTGTTTCGTGTGGTTGTGAGTTCCCTTTTTCGGTGGTTTCGGGTTTCGGTGTTGGGGTTTCGAGCATTAAGGTTTGAGGTTTTGGGCTGTGTGATTTACGGTTTAGGGCTTTTTCGCGTGTCGGGTTCAAGGGGGCTCAGGTTTAGTGTGCAGGGTCTTGGCTTTGGGGCTTGGGATTCGGATCCATGGCTGCGCTGCTTGAAGGGCTTAGCTTAAAGTCTACAGTTTACCCTAAGGCCCCAAAGTAGCTCTTTTTTGGCGTTCGTCTTATATAGATAGTTACTTGCACAACATAGTTTGCTATAGGCTCGGCTATCCCACTACGCCAAGGGACGGTTCCTGAATGGCAAGAACTCTGGCAGCCGGAAGCCCGCAAGGAGCGAAGCCAAGAAGCCTAGATTTGGCACGGCTCAGAAGCCATCCTCCTAAACTCTCAGCCAGATCTTTAACAGTCTGCTGGAAAGCCACGAAAGCAAGAAGCCTACAAAATCGGGAAGCCCGGAAACGAGTAACTCCTCTATTGAACCCTTTTGGACGCAGTCCTTGTGGGTCATGTCTTTTGGTTACACGGTTACACATGTCCTCTAGCCAGGGCAGCGAGAATTGTTGTCCATACCATCTCGGGCCGACATCTTGAAAGCCCTGATCCCCCAAACTCTAAACCCTAAACTCATAGCCCTAACCAACAGCCCCAAGCTCTAGGCCCTACCTATAGTCTCCATTGTAGTTAAGGTTTTTGGTCAACCAGTTTTATGTTTGGGATCCTATAATCGAGATTTTGGTTAACCCAAAAAAGGGAAGTACAATGGAGACTATAGGTAAACTCTGCACCCCAGGCCCCAGACGCCTCGGGCCGATATTGGGGCCGGCTCAGTCTGCGAGAGGCAAACTGCTAATACACAGAACCTACGGACGCCGCTCACGCATCGGGCCTGATCCTTGGCTTGAGCCGGTGTCCATGAAGCGACGACGGTTGGGAGTTTAGGGTTTAGGGTATACTTGGAGGGTCGGGGGACTTAGTAAGTACCCTTAAAGGACCCTAATTGGGGTTATGGTACTTATAACTCTATAAAAACAGCTACTTAATGAGTCCCCCGACCCTCCAAGTAGGGTTCAGGATACCCGAACTGCGAATCTTATGGAGCTGGTTTCTGCCCTCCACCGACATCTCCATCAAGGGGTAATCGGGGAGTCGAACCAAGCTTTCTGATTTAGGCCCCCCAGAAAGCCTACCCTGCTGATGGAAGATAATAAGGACATCAAAACAAAGATTCTGAATAAAACAGGTTCGTTGCACTCTGACCTGCACCCTGCGGCATCAACAACACCCCTAGACCAATACTTGAAAGCCTAACGCCCGGCACACAAAAAACTCAGGAGCTGTTTTAGCAACTTTCCGAAGCCTCTTTTGTGTTAGAGGGTCTTTTATTTGAGGTTCTCGGCTCTGGAAAACCAAGGTCACTAAAGGGCAATTCTGAGAATCTAAACCACCGGAAACCCCATCCCAAGACCCTACAAGCCCTACTTGGAGGATCATGGGACTTAGTAAGTCTGGTTATAAGTACCTTAATTGGGGTTATAAGCAGTTATAAGTAGTTACTAAGTCCCATGATCCTTTAAGTAAGCTCTAACCCCAAAATCCCAAACCGCTAAAACCCAAGGCCCAGCTTCACGGGAAAAAGGCTTCGAGGTTCTGTGAGAGTTTGATCCGTCGGAGCGTGTTGGAAACGGTCTGGGGACTTTTTCGTGAACCTTACTTGGACGGTCGGGGGACTTACTTAGTTATTTTAGAGAGTTATAAGTACCATAACCCCAATTAGGATCCCTTTTAGGGTACTTATAAGTCTACTTATTACCTACGGGCTTTGAGTTTGCGATTGCGATGTTCGGGTAAGGTGCTTGTGGATGTCTCTGCGGGTTGTCCTGAGTCAAGCTTCCATGCACTTCGTAAGGTTTGTTTTCTACACGTGAATGCCTTAAAGCCAAAACCTTAACCCCCAAAGCCTAAGCCAAAACCCCAAAGACTTCATACAGGGGCCGCTGCAATTAGAGTAGGGTTTCGAGATACAGTATAACACCAGACACCATGAAGGGGACAATCTTGCCCATGATTCCTGGCTAAACCCAAAACCTTCAAATTCTAAACCCTAAAAAAACTCTTAGACCTTCTTGAACCCTTATTATTATGGCTTTCTTGAACTCTAAACCCCAACGAACTCTTAAACCTTGATGAGCCCTTCTTGCTTTCTTTCCCCGCAGGCCAGGCCAAAACGGCCTTGTGATGAGCCTTTGGCTCATAATTAGAACTCGCCGCTCCTTAGCCCTAAAGGCCAAAACCACCAAGGATCCCTAAGTTGAACCGCCCTTTAATAATGAGGGTACCCTTTCCTCTACTAGTCTAGACCGAAGAGTATCCTAGGAATAGAAAGGGTGCCCTTTTTGGTTTAAAGGGCTTATAAGGGAACCTGAACGCTAAAAAAGGGGAATAAGGGCCTACTCTAGGTCCTAGTAGTGGGTTGTGATAAGGGAGCCCAAAAATCAAACGGGCAAAAGGGCAAAAGGGTACTAGTGAGGCAACGCACGACATCACCAGCTTACACAGCACTTATTCGGGCTTCCAGATTGAATTGCACTCTCGGAGCCCTGAAGCCACAACCCATGCAGGAACAACTGGAGAGTATGAGCACAACGATCCCTAAGGGTCCAAGTGCCCAAATAGTAGGGTTTCAAGGTCCAAAAACCATTCAGAGTATGGATTTGGGGACCTAAAACCCTTCTATTTGGGTACTTGGAGCCTCTGGGGATTATCAAACCCTAAACCCAAACCTCGCCGCGCAGTTTAAAATGGCTCAGCAAGACCCGACCCCAAGCCCCCGAAAGCCAGCGAGCCCGTAATCCCAAGCACGTAACCCCAAAGCCCTGAAGCCCCTAAATACAAAGGACCTGCTTGAAGAACCCTTTAAGAACGCTTGTAGAAATATAACCCTTTAAGAACCCCTGTAGAAAATATATAGAACCCTTGTAGACACATAACCCTTTAAGAACCCTTCTAGAAACATATATAGAGCCCTTTGAAAGAACTCTTAAAGAACCCTTGTAGAACCCATGTAGAAAAATATAGAACCCTTTGAAAGAACTCTTAAAGAACCCTTGTGGAACCCATCTAAAGGCCTCGGCCACGAGCTCTAGGGAGCAGGCCCCAATGCAGATTCGAATTTCAAGCAGCTGAGCAGATGAGCTCCGAAACCATCCGTTTGGGGTTTAGGGGTTAGGGTTTTAGGATCCCCAGAAACCTTCCGGCAGGGCTAGGCTTTGAGGACTTACCTCTCTCAGGGCGTGGTATCCGGAGTTTACTTACCTATCGCGCCTCTAGCTCTTCTGTGGAGGCGTTGAGCTTTCGTGCCAGTAAACCCCTGTGGCCCCTTAACCACCCAAAACCCCAAATGGGGGCTTCTGAAAATAGGGGACCCAAATCTATAGTAGTACCCTAAGTGGTAGGATCCTTAGTATAAGGACCCCAAAATAAGGTACCCCTTTTTTCGGAAACTCTGACCCCTAAACCCTGTATAGAACTCCTATAGATCCCTTTAAAGGAACCCTTATAGATCCCTTAACCACCCTACCTACAGTCTCTGTTGTAGTTCCTTTTTTTGGTCAACCAGTTTCCATTGTAGATCCTTTTTTTGCGGTTAACCAAAATCTCTGTTATAGGATCCCAGACATAAAACTGGTTGACCAAAAAAGAACTACAATGGAGACTATAGGTAAACCCCAAATCTCTCAACCGCAAATATCCTTCTTGGAGGGTCGGGGGACTTAGTAAGTAGGTAGTAAGTAGACTTATAAGTACCCCAAAAGGGACCCTAATTGAGGTTATGGTACTTATATGTCCCTAAAATAACCTCCCCCGACCCTCCAAGTGGGGGCCCGAAAAACCGACACGGCAAACCACAAGCGCACGCTACTCGGACTTTGGGGCATTGTGGGCTGTGGGAGTTGGGCCGGACACACCCAAACTTAGGGAGGGTTTTTTTTTGTTTGTTTTAAGGGCCTCTTTTCTTTGGGATGGTTTAGGGTTTAGGGTTTTTAAGGGTTTGGTCTAGAATCTCTAGGTCTGATTTTGAGTGCTGTGCCTATTTCAAGTTGCTGGCGCCATGGTGTAATTTTGTTGAGGGTTTCCGCGTCTCTGCTAGATTCCCTGGAGCTATGAATCAGAGCGCACGAAAGTGGCTGACGGTGGCACCACTGCTCAAGCTGTGACACACATTAGCCAGTGACGCGTGGTTGCATAGTGCTTGGAGCTATGACCATCTCTGATCGAATAAACCAAAATCCCAATCTCCAGAACGTAGCACGGGACTCACAAATCCTCTTACTGAGGAGGAGGCCTGACATAGAGGCTTTAGTAATTGTAAGAGGGTTCCGGGGTATATTCTACAAACGTATCAATGGACTACAAAGGACCCTAAACCCTAAACCCTAAAACCCTAAACCCCTAAACCCTAAATCCTAATACGATTGCTAACTGCTCCGGCCCCAGTATGGTTTCCGAATTCTCCGAGCGACAGCTGTCGAACCAGCTTTGGGGCTAGTGTTTACTTGGAGGGTCTGGGGACTTAGGAAGTAGGTACTAAGTAGAGTTATAGTACCCCAAAAGGGATCCTAATTGGGGTTATGGTAATTATAACTCTACAAAATGACTACTTACTAAGTCCCCCGACCCTCCAAGTAGGACTTACGAGCTCTTTGGGTTTAGAAAGCTTCGGCAAAGACACGCTTATGACTGCTGATGGAAAAAATCCTGCATGACCCTAAGGACTCTAAACTATGGGAACTATGGTATATTCCTTATAATGGGTAATGCAGGATTTTGTCCATCAGCAGGATGACTGCTAGTCAGATGCACAGTGCAGCCACGATCTCTGAAAGTCTAGTTGTACAACGAAGTTCTATTGGATTCC